ATATTTCAGATATGTATGCTTTATTTATTTGACTGCCTTTTGTGTTTCTTCTTCTTCTTAGTAATACTAATAATACATCTGTATATAAAAAAGCCTAATTTACTCAAATATGCTTTACAATAAATAATGTTTTTTGATTACATTTCTATGAAAAACAAGCTTGTCTAAACTTTAGACAAGCTTGTTTTTCATAGAAATGTAATCAGACTCTAAAGCATGTGATATTATAATTTAGAAGGAAAATATTCCCTGTAGCAATCATCGATGAACAAAAGCGTAATTTTAATAATGCATTTTCCTCTCTACTTTGGTGTTGCTTATAGTTATGTAGATTTTAAGTTTATCAAATTTAAAAATCAACCCATGATTAAATACTTGCACATGGGATAAAATACTGTCACTTTTTACTATTCAGTTTGGAGGCAATGTAATGAAAAATATATGTAATCACTTCCACCTAGTGGAGAACAAGTGCATTACAAACTACAGATCCCATTTATTCCACTGAATAGAGTGCCACAGTGACGCGTCCTCGAATCATGAATCTATCGATCATAAATCTATCGATCATAAATCTATCGATTATAAAATTATAAAAGTAGGGTAGACATGTGGATATTATCCGACTGAACAAAACGTGATCGGTCTCTTAAATGTGATTTCCAAAATCCTATGGAGGAATTGCATTGCTTTTTTGTCGAAGGATCCCATGCGCAGCTTACTTCCGGGTTTTAGGACGCGTCACTGTGGCACTCTATACTCATATCTTCTATATCACATGACAGGATTATGTGAAGGACGAATCAGAGATTGATTGTGTTCAAATAAAATGTTCAGAAGAGGATTTCTCAACATGATGAAATATTTCACAGCTCAGTCACCTGTTACACTACACAGTTTGTCATCCACTATAATAAAAAACATTATACATGTGTCTGTAGGTCATCTCTGAACAACAGGTCTGTTTTTACTGCATAGAACATGTTGCACAAATGCAACTTAAAGAGGTCACTACGCTAATTTTCAGGTTCATATTTGTATTTAGTGTCTCTACTTTAAAGAGTCCTCTCCTGCTGATGTTCAGGTGTATATCAGTATGTAGTGTCTCTACTTTAAAGAGTCCTCTCCTGCTGACGTTCAGGTGTATATCAGTATGTAGTGTCTCTACTTTAAAGAGTCCTCTCCTGCTGATGTTCAGGTGTATATCAGTATGTAGTGTCTCTACTTTAAAGAGTCCTCTCCTGCTGATGTTCAGGTGTATATCAGTATGTAGTGTCTCTACTTTAAAGAGTCCTCTCCTGCTGATGTTCAGGTGTATATCAGTATGTAGTGTCTCTACTTTAAAGAGTCCTCTCCTGCTGATGTTCAGGTGTATATCAGTATGTAGTGTCTCTACTTTAAAGAGTCCTCTCCTGCTGATGTTCAGGTGTATATCAGTATGTAGTGTCTCTACTTTAAAGAGTCCTCTCCTGCTGATGTTCAGGTGTATATCAGTATGTAGTGTCTCTACTTTAAAGAGTCCTCTCCTGCTGATGTTCAGGTGTATATCAGTATGTAGTGTCTCTACTTTAAAGAGTCCTCTCCTGCTGATGTTCAGGTGTACATCAGTATGTAGTGTCTCTACTTTAAAGAGTCCTCTCCTGCTGATGTTCAGGTGTATATCAGTATGTAGTGTCTCTACTTTAAAGAGTCCCCTCCTGCTGATGTTCAGGTGTACATCAGTATGTAGTGTCTCTACTTTAAAGAGTCCTCTCCTGCTGATGTTCAGGTGTATATCAGTATGTAGTGTCTCTACTTTAAAGAGTCCTCTCCTGCTGATGTTCAGGTGTATATCAGTATGTAGTGTCTCTACTTTAAAGAGTCCTCTCCTGCTGATGTTCAGGTGTATATCAGTATGTAGTGTCTCTACTTTAAAGAGTCCTCTCCTGCTGATGTTCAGGTGTATATCAGTATGTAGTGTCTCTACTTTAAAGAGTCCTCTCCTGCTGATGTTCAGGTGTATATCAGTATGTAGTGTCTCTACTGGGACATGTCTTCATGCTTTAATGTTCAAAAAGCTCTTTATTTTTCTCATACTGCCTGTGCTGCAGCTCCTCTTTTCACCCTCTGTCTGAAACCAGAGCCCAGTCTGCTCTGATTGGTTAGCTGGCTGGCTCTGTTGTGATTTGTCAAGCAGCTTAGAGATGTCCCGCCCCTTAGCCTATCACGTACAATGTGTTGGATATAGCTAATGTCCCTCTACAGTCCTTAAGAGAAACTCACTCTGGAGGGAACACAGGGATTTTAGCTTTTGCATGCACTAAATCACGTACTCTAGCCAATAGAAGTGCGAGTGTTACATTGTGATGACGCTATATAAGTAAACAAAGGAGTCCAATGGAGGCATTTCAGGCAGGGGGGGGGGGGGGGGGGGGGAGTGTGTGGTAGAGAAACTCCATCTGGAGGGAACACAGAGATTGTAGAGGCTCTCAAATACATTTCAGATAAGAAATCAGCTGGGGAAGTTTGATGGTAATAACATATTGAGCCATAAATCTACACTTCAGTAGCACACCAAACTTTCCAAATGTGTTACTGAATATATCAGACAGAGGGTTTCATTCAGATTTTATTCATACCAAGATTTATGTAGCATCACATCATAAAAACTCGGAAAGAAATGTATTTTTTTTATGAATAAAGAAATGTCCCTCTGTAAAAAGCATTTGACTTTTATTAATCAACAACAATATTGAACTTGATTTCATCCTATGTTCTGATTACTGTAAGAAATTCTAGGAAATTAGCATACATTTAATAAGATAATGCGTCATCTGCATATTTAAACTTATACTTAAATAAAATAATTATCTTAATGGTGCGATATCAAAATATCCATAATGTATTTGTCTTCTGCCTCATTCAGATGTACTGCCTCCCCATACACAACTCACATATTGAATACAGTTTCTTCTGTAATGCATAACCAACAGGTGTTCACTGTTACAGTGTAACATAGTGCTATTACAGCATTCTCAGTGTAATCACTATAATACACTAGAAATGATTGAACGTAAAATCAAGTCCCATTCAGTGTTAATTGCTTTAGTGCAAATTGTGTTACAGTACATTTTAACCAAACATTACTCATTTGTTGTGAGTTTCTGCTAATGTTATTTAATTATATACAAATATTGCAGTCTTGTCATTAAACTTAATTAAAATACAATGTTCAAATCACACTTTTTACAAATGCAATCACAAAGATAAACACACGAAACGAGGGGTGCACGATATACATGAGCAGATAATACAAACTCAAAATTACTGTGTAATATTTTAATAATAAAGTGAAGTCGATAACACGAGCAAGATTGCTTTCATTATCTTAACAAGCGTTGATACTTAAAGGTCCCCTATTATACTGTTTTTCATCAATATATTATAGGTCTCAGATACAAAACATGTCTCTGAAGTGTTTGGCTCCAAACACCAAACAGATCATTGCAGCATCCCATAATCCCCTCTGTTTCAGCCCTGTCTTTAGATGAAAATAAGGATCCACTCCCCACGCCCCTCTGAGAGAGATTTGGTTCAAAAGAACACAATAGGCGCATTCACACCGCAGTACTTTTCCCACTTTAGTTCCGATATAGTTCCGAAATGTTGCGTTCACACCAAAAAGTGCCGGAACTAAAATTAATTCATGAGAACCTTTTTACCCCCTTTTCCGTCCCTGCTAGAGAGCAGGTACTTTCGTGGGAGAAAAAGGTTCCTATTTCTGATTGGCTGGGCGGATTGCAAACCACGCCCCGTAAAACTCCCAAAAAGTTTTGTGAAACCGCCATTTTATTATCCTCGCATTATTAGCATTAGCATTAGCCCAGCGCAGAAATGCAGAGAGACTAACTTATGGCAACACAAAAGAAAACATGGGAGCGGTGGAGATGAGGAGGCGTCGGCGTTCTGGCGATTTACTCAGAAGGCTTCAGTAGAAGCTGCTGGGAGTCCCAGCAGCTTCTACTGAAGCCTGTCCCCAACTCCGGGGACAGGCTTCAGTAGAAGCTGCTGGGAGTCCCAGCAGCTTCTACTGAAGCCAGTCCCCAACTCTGGGGACTGGCTTCAGTAGAAGCTGCTGGGAGTCCCAGCAGCTTCTACTGAAGCCTGTCCCCAACTCCGGGGACTTCCGGCCGGGGACTCCGGGTGGCAGTATACGCCGTGAAGTTGTTTGCGGCCTTCCAGTAAACCCAAAGCAGAAGAAGAAGAAGTGACGTCAGCGGCTTAATTTGCCTAATCCTCCCCCAGGGACTTATTCCGGTGTGAACGCGATCTGTACTTAGTTCATCAGAACTAAAGAGTTCATCAGAACTAAGTTCTGATTAACTAAGTTCTGATGAACTAAAGTGGGAAAAGTACTGCGGTGTGAACGCGCCTAATAGTGCTCTAGGGGGAGATTCAGGTGATAAGGTGGGGGGGGGTGGTTACCTTGGTTGGTGATTGGCTAATGGTTGCACAATCCAAAACATCGTTATGACATCATAAAGTGGCCAAAATCTGATCAGCTCATTTTCAGACAGGTTTTTATATAAATGGATCAGGACAAAAAGAGAGAGAATCTTTTTTCCTGAAACTTTCAGAATCTCTTTACACAGAGGGGACACATGTTGATGTAGAAGAGACATGGAAAAGTGGATTTTGCATAATAGGTGACCTTTAATACTTTATTCTGATTTGGACATTTAAGAGGTCTGCTAATATTCGCTAGCAGACAGTTGTTAAGGATGTTGCCTGAGGGACTACTGTATGTGCAGTCATATCAATCCGCAGAAAGAAGTCCGGTCAATTTAACGTCAGCTGTGGACAACAAACATTAGTTTACTCACAGTGGAATACTTTGTGAATATACATCTTTATATTCGTTGAGGGGGCGTGGGCACTGCTGTGGCTCTGTCTCTCAGCCTAGGATGGATATTTGTATATATTTCTCATGGCTGATTGTAATAAACCCTAACCCTAATCAACCTAACCCTTTACACTTATATTTAATTAAAATGCCAATCCTCACACACTTAATGCATACAATATCCTGCTTTATATTGCTTACTGCAAATTGGTATTTAAACATGTATATTTTCAACTTTTTTATTGCTGTTTTATTTCTATTTTGGGATGTTTACATTTTAGAATAGTTTATTTCTTATCTTAATTTCTCTTTTTGTGCTGCTGCAACGCAAGCATTTCCCAAATCGGGATCAATAAAGTATTTCTTATCTCATCTTATAAGAAGTTAAAAAACAGCGCGCTAGACATCAGAGAAATCTGCAGAAGAAGACAGACAGGAAGTCTCTCCCTTGATCTTCCTTAGCAACGGTCATTATGTTGCCTAGCAGCGGTGTTATATCGAGTATTAACAACCTCTGAAATGTCCAATTAGCCAATCAGAGTCGAGTATTCAACTAAGCCGTGTAACCATTTTTGTTTGTTAGATATGGTTATGTCAGAGCTTTCTAATCTTAAATCACTCGTCTTTGCTCACAACATCTTAGCCTTTCTAACCCTCTTTGTGTGCATTCACTACACTTCATGCTCTTCTTCTATGATGTGAAATAAAGTCACCAGTCATGAGAAAACAGGTTATCATTAGTATTGGCTGAAAACAATCGTGCATCCCTTCACAACACCAAACATGAAATGCATATTATTCCGTCAAACAGGTCTTCTGTGTATTTTCTGTCTACAACACCAGACATACAGGCTACAAAAGAGTTGCAGTGGCTCAGTCAGTAGGTGCTGTGAGCCGTAGGGTCGCCGGTTCAAGTCCCCGACCAGACCTAAATATGGAGTGTGGACTGCTACTTGGAGAGGTCCCAGTTCACCTCCTGCCCTGCCGTGGTGCCCTTGAGCAAGGCACCGGACACCCCCCTTCCCCCCTCACTCCGGGCGCTGTACAATAGCTGCCCACTGCTCCTAGTTCTAGACTCCTGGTATTAGGATGGGTTAAAAGCAGAGAACACATGTCACTGTGTGTGCTGTGTGCTCTGCATGTGTGACCATTACAGAGGGTTTCATCCCTCCATATTCTATTCTATAGTTCCTCCTCCATGTATGCACTGCAACGTACATCGCAGAAGTACTCAAAGTATCCGGAAACAACTCGTTTAAAGAAAGAGCCAGCTCCTCCATTGTGCTTGTGTTTGATCCAGCAGGGTCAGAGCCGGCCAGCAGGGGGCGCTGTCGCCTCTTATATTACTGACACTCCCTCCATTTCTCTCTCCGTGCTTTCCCATGTGACCAAAGACAGTCTGATGGCTGGTGTCCATTACTGCAGGCTACAGATACTCTTCTTCCTTTACATACAGGATCTCATGGGCTGAGCTGGGAACCTGGAAGAGAGACAGAGAGATCATTCAGAAAGGTTTAGGGAGTAACGGATTACATGTATTGGGATTATGTCATTCAAAAAAGGTATCTGTAGATGTAATCAGATTATAAATTTGAAATGGGGTTTACTAGCAGGATTACAGTCTGAGTAAAAACCAAAGAGCAGATAGTGTTTGTTGTAAAGCATCAGATGTTATCTCAGATGTTTAACTGTGTGTATTAAACTAAAACGGAGCATCATCTGTCAGCTCAGATTTTAATTCTGCTTTTTTAAACTGTAGTGTGTGCTCATGAGTTTCATTGTTGATGTATAGACTACTGCCTGAATATGCTTGATGAAGGTTTTCCTTTTAAATAATGACATTTTTTTATCCTAAATATCACGTTTTTTTCTTTTCTAAGGTCACATTGTTCTGTTGTCTTATATAATACACTATATATATTTGTTATATAATATTACATTGGCTCTTCTTTTTCAGGGGTGAGCTTTAATATAAATGTTACTGTAGTGCGTCCTGTGTTGTCTGGAGAGGAGCGGGTCATAGGTCAAATGTGGCCGCTCTGACCTGTGAAGTCTAATGAAACAAAACAACAGAATCCAAGTTCAGCGAGCCATCTGCAGTTCATCTAAAGACCTTCAGAGACTCCTGGTGGACTTGTTTAAGTAAGTGTGGCTGTAGTTGTGTGTATGTTGTAGCAATGAATTAAGAACAGTGTAATATAAATGCCTGTTATATTTGAGCAGCACTGATAATTCAACTTATATTGATAATTACCAACTATTTTGATTCATCTTCAAAGTGATTTATTTTGCCAAAATGGCACAAAATGCAGTTTTTTTGCATTGCATTTGATATTGAGTTAATCCAAAAGTAACGCAAAGTAGGTTACATTATTTTTATATTTTGACACTTGGATTGTAACACAGTAACCCTCCTAACCCTGCTCACAGCTGTGGATTGATCCGACAATATGAATAAAAGGTCAACTGTGGGACACACTGAGCAGGAACACCTGTCGTTGGTGATAGATATCTTTGAGTAAGTATGAACTGTTAATGTGTGAGTAAAGGTTTAATATCTGGTAGTAAATGTATATACCTGGTTGACGCCTCCCACCACCAGCAGGCGGTCTCTGATGACGATGGAGGAGGTGGAGCAGCGGGGGGAGTTCATGGGAGACAACCTCTCCCACTTCTTCTTCTGAGGGTGGAAGGCTTCCACTGTGTCCAGGGCCGAGGGCTCGTGACCTACACACGCACACACACACACACGCACGCACACACACACGCGCGTGCACACACACACACACACACACACACACACACACACACACACACACACACACACACACACACACACACACACACACACACACACACACACACACACACACACACACCACATCATGAATTGACCACTTCAATCTCAAACAATGGTAAATGGTCAGCATTTATATCGCACTTTCCTAATCTCCGCAACCCTTACGGCACTTTTACATAATACAATAATAATAATAATAAACTTTATTTATATAATAATAGCTTAAGTGTATATAGCGCCTTTCTGGGGACATATAAAAAAAAAACATATAGCACCTTTTCATGCTTGAAAGTGCTTTACTTAAAATGACAATAACAAATGTTAAAAACAAGGTGTAAACAAACAGAAAGAGTTATATAACTGAACCATAAAACAATAAAACAATGAAACATGAACAGTGATACTACTCAAATATGACAATTGCCCCAAATTATAAGCCAAATTAAAAATTCCAATTGATGTTGCTGTTCTCAAGATCAAATGGGAAAAAGCAGCCTCCCCAGTTTTCTTGTAATGCACTCTAAGTACTTTTAAAAGTGAAACATTGGAAGTGTCCTTGCAGGTTGAAGTCAGCACAAATCAGCATTGACCCGTTCACACACATTGTAACACTAACACACATTCACACACACTTTTGGGTTAGGTATCTTTCCCTTGGACAGTTCAACATGTTGTCTTCAGTGGGGGTCAACCTCTCTTATAAAGTTACAACTTTAATCTTGTTCATTCTGTTTTTCAGACAGACGTCGCATTACACACTTCCCCCGGCTCCTTAGATTGTCCCTTATAGGCTGTGGTAGTTTACTGACTGGGATATAGGGTATTTCTTTATTTCAACATAAAGATATCAGTTTTTATTTAATGATGCAAACCTTCCCACTGGACTCAGATGTTGAATTTTGTTACACATACATTCAGTCATATAAACACTCGTTAGTTAACCCATAAGATTAGACAAGATTTAACTAGATTATATAAACTTTATTGATCCCAAGTTGGAAAATTGTTTATTTGGGATTTGTTTTAATCTTACATTAACCTTCCTGTTGTCCCGGGGTCAAATTTCACCAATTCCTGAATGTTTTTATGTCGGAATAAAGGGTTATTTCATATAATTGCCACAAAAATACTATGGTATCCTACTGCCTACTTTGTAAGATCGTTTATTTCATATAATTATGTGTTTTATTTAAATGTATATAGCATCTGGTGTCATTTTGTGCTGCCATTAAAGAAATTAAAATGGTTACAAAACAGTATTCTGATCTAATCTTGTAACATACCAGATCATTCATCAAGAAATGTTCCACTGACCTTAAAGGGGACCTATCATGCAAAATGCACTTTTGTACGTCTTTTACACATGAATATGTGTCCCCGGTGTTCCAGGGAACTCACCAAGTGTCAGAAAACACAACCCTCTCTATTTTCCTCCATACCCAAATCTCTAAAAAAGGGGCTGCAACGGATCTGATAAAAACTGATCCAGATTTGAACACTGTCCTGACGTCAGGACGGTGGCGCTACGGCTATTGGGCCAACTCCACCAATCAGGAGGAGACAGCCACGGCCATTGCCGTTCGAAAGCGCTGGAGACGCTGTAGTACATATGCCAGGCCTGTAGATGGTGCTGTTCTCACTGAATCTGCCCTTGCAAAAACAGAGCTAGAAAAGTGCAAATTGAGCAAAATGAGGCATGGCTAAAATGCATGATCTGTTTGGTATTTTGAAAAAAATAAAGTATAAATATGCCTTATATGTCCTACACTATATTATTCAAATATAGCATGATAGGTCCACTTTAACTATAGGCAAATAATTACGTTTGTGTCTTTATTTAACTCAAAATGTAGGTTTGGTTTTGTGTGAATGAGATCTACTGACTATTAATTCCAAAAAGAGAAGTTAACCTTGTGTTATTGAGCTGGAAGAAAGTTGGCTTTAATGTCCCAACACAGAAATGGGGGATGATTTATTCTATCATCTTAATAAACCGTCAAAGTATCTCTCACCCAGTCCTCCTGCTACCACCATGCGTCCTCGCAGGAAAGCAGAAGCAAAGTCAGCTCTCTTCGTCTTCATCGCCACCGTCTCCTCCGACTTCAACCAGCAGCCTGCGGAGGAACACACACCACAGCTGAAACGACCAGGAGTGTGTGAGCTGGTGTGTGTACTGTTGTGTATCATTAAGTCTCATTTAAGTATATAAACGTCCTTCTATATTTTCCTGCAGTTTGAATGAACCAGTCCTAATGTAAACTAGGGCTCATTCCCAGGCTTTAACACAACAGACTGGCCACCTTCTGTTCTCTTGCACTCGACAGACAGGAGGACCGTTGTCAGGCGAATGATCATACGGATGTTACCTGTCTTATGTCCCCTTTGTTATCTGCTCTCATCTGTATAAATGACATTGCTTTTCTGTGTAACGGGGTCAGATTCTTGTGCTACAGATAAGTCCACAACTTTGGTTTAAGCTTGTATATTTGTTATTTTCTTACCAAAAGGTGATTACGTGTGGAATTTCCACCACATGTACAAGCTCATAAAGTTAGTGAGGGCGAGGTCAGAGGAACTGTGGAGCTGAGCTTGTTTTCAGAGAGAAATGAACACACAGGCCAGCTGCAGCTAGGACACTACACACACAGACATACACACACACGCACGCACGCACGCACGCACGCACGCACGCACACACACACACACACACACACACACACACACACACACACACACACACACACACACACACACACACACACACACACACACACACACACACACACACACACACACACACACACACACACGCACACACCTGGCAAGGACACAGGAAGGTTGTACCTAACACTGAGCAGCAGCAGACAGAGAGGGGGCAGGCAGGAGTTGGAGTTAGGGTCAGAATATTACAAGACTAATGTTGGCTCGCGAGTAAACTTTAATCTAAATGTTACTGTAGTGCGTCCTGTGTTGTCTGGAGAGGAGCGGGTCATAGGTCAAATGTGGCCGCTCTGACCTGTGAAGTCTAATAAAGCAAAACAACAGAATCCAAGTTCAGCGAGCCATCTGCAGTTCATCTAAAGACCTTCAGAGACTCCTGGGTATCAGACTGTGAGTGTAGTTGTATGTAAGTTATTGTGTTGATTTAAGAACAGTGTAATATAAATGCCACACACACACACACACACACACACACACACACACACACACACACACACACACACACACACACACACACACACACACACACACACACACACACACACACACACACACACACACACACTAAGAAAGATAGTAGAAATTCTTGGTTTCGGTGACGGCTTTTGGTTTTAGTGTGCTGGTATTGATCTTAAAGTGCTGGGTGTTGATAGTGTTTTCTTAAATGTTAGGTTATAAAACAACGCCACATGTAGTTGTTGTCATTTTTATAGTATTTCAAGGTATTGCGTTTCCATCTTTGTTCTATACTTTGACTGGAAAGGGGATAGCAGGAATTCACCCGGTGCTCAACGTTCACAGCTGCTCACTGACTAACCCTTTCTAATACTATAAGACTTGGCATTAGTCTGAATGGCCAAAACAAGAAAGATCCAGCTAAATAAGTTGCACCAAAACATTTTCTGATCTCCCAGCAGCTGATAACAGCCAATAAGGAAGCTCCACTGCTGAGAATTGAACCTCACAGGTGCAGTGGAGAGCAGGTGCCTCTTCTCATCCACCACAAAACAGCTATTGGCAGCTTTAATACCAAAATAGCCAAAGCCAGAAAATCAGTCAAGTCGCAGGTGTGGAAGACTTCTCAATTCAAATGTTATCTCTCTAATTACCTGACGCTTATGACCCACAAGAAAGATGGTTCTCCAAAGACCTAATGCGGTCAGAGTGAAGGTGACATTTTCCTTTATATCCAGAGCTGAAGCAACCGAGGTGATAAAAGTGAAATTGAGAGAGATGAGAATATAGGCGTTCTCTTTCCCCAGCAGACTGTGCAGAGGTTGTTGTTTTTTTTTACTTCTTTGTTGCTGCCAAGTGTTGTTTATCTGAAGTGAGACCGGAGAAAACCATGACACAGGAAGAAAGATAACTTAATTAGGGAGCGAGGGAGAGAGAGGGAACAAGAACGAGAAAAGAGGAGAGAGAAAAAGCACAGAAATGTCTTCATTCTCTCTCGTTATCTTCCTCTCCTTGTTATTCATCCTCCTCATTTATTTCCAATCCTTTTCTTAAACAAAGGCAGAGACAACAAGGTGAAAACAAACAATAGACGGAGAGAGAATGAAAGAGGGATTATCAGCCAGACGGTGATTCCTCCAGCAGTGTGGAAATGAACAGAAGGGTTTTCTTTTCCAGCCTGGTTACACTGAAGATAACAGAGCACAGCTGGATGTCCACTCTGCTCTTAACACTGCAGATGTGAGATGTTAAATTCATTAGAGGAGTTATTTGGTGGTGAAAAACAGAGCTGCACTGATTTCAATGTGTCTGTAGCATTGTGTTTCCAAATGTAAGATGTACTAAAAGTTGCCATGCAATGCTTTTTGTGTTAAACGAGTAAAAGGATGTGTATTAACCTGTTAAGCCCCGAGCCTGTTTTTCAGGTCTCAGGCTCGAAAATGACATGCCCAGAACAAATGACTATAACTTCACTTCTAAAAGGAGTAAATTCATAATCTTTTTTCTCAAAGCAATGATAAACCTGTGAGTTGGATGTAGACGAGTCAGAATCAATATAGATGTTTTTTATTTTAAAGTAAATTCAGATTGAACATAGTAAAGAAATATAAATTATAGTGTCCGTCCAAAAATAAACCATTACTTATTGCATTGCATTCAAAACAAATGAATGTGTGCCCAGGTGTACATGTTTTTGCAATCCCATACAGTAAGTAAGGTAAGTTAGCCTTATCCTGTATTTGTTAAGTCAAGATGTATGTAACTAAAAGTCTGGGCAAGTCAATGGAAGCTGATTACATTGTAGTCTCTTTCATCAGCATCAGGTCATATTGAACATTTCAATCAATGCATTCCAGAAGAAAAAATTGGCAAGATTTTGGTGAAGTTGTTTCTTTTAAACTACATTTTAGTCTCTTGTCATTGTTATTGCATGTTGACTACTTCAATGATGATGATGATGATGATGATGATGATGATTGCAGGTCTCCCTTGAAAAAGAGATCTATGATCTCAATGGGACCAATCTGGTTAAATAAAGGTTTGAAATGAAAATGAAATGAAATGATCTTCAGAGTTTGTATGACGTTATTGGCTGTTCTTTTTTATTTTAGATACACTCTCATTTGTGTATAATGCAGTTTGCCATGTACAACATATCTAATCAGCAAGCCAGTTTATATATTCTGACCAAGGTCATAGCACTTTTTATAAGTTCTACTGCTATATTTTCACATTTGTTTTGCATTTTTGCACATTATTTACATTTAAAGTACGAAAAAGCATCTGATGGCGAATCAAAACATGTTAATTGCAAAATAGATAAGTGGTTGGAGGGTCACCCCTTACCCTATCTAGCCAGCAAGTATTGAGTATGCATTAGAATAAAGTCATTTATTAAATTGGATGATCTATTAATGATGATTGGATCTAAAGAGATGTTGGATCTACAAAAATCCTGCACTTTGAATCAGATTTCACTTCATACTTAATACTGAAAAAGTGAAATATCATCTATTTGGTTCCATTTAGCGGCCAATGGAGAATAAACTACAACATGAACGTACAAAGTGTGTGCAGGATGGAAGCTACAACAGCAGTAATTCCTTTATAAACAGTGCGACTGTCTGGATGTTGCTTTTAAAATTACCGTTGTGTCAACACATCACACTGCAGACTTATCATCGGGTCCTCTGAGAGAGAGCGACTGCGAGCTTTATTCCTATTTACTTTGGAGGGATTACACACGTCTTTGCACCAAGATTTTCTTTTGTGCGATGGAGGGAAAACACCAGCACGCTTTATGCTGCTCTGGAGGGAGACAGAGGAGGAGAATAAAGTGATGGAGAGGCAGAGAAAATACAGAGAGAGAGAGACAAAAGAGCGAGGGAGATGAGGCGATTCTCTGAAGACGGGCTTTGTACAAATTTCTTCCACAGCTCGCCTCTGTAATTGTCCATCGTGATTAAAATGAGAAGAGGATGGTGATTGCTCCTCTGTCTCTGATGGATTATTTCTGTCTGTGAGCTGACCACACTTGGACAGAATCCCTCTATTATTGTGTGGCATTTTCAATAATCACACATTGGCCCTTAGCGATGGCCAAAACAAAAGCACATTTGCGCTTTTCTCATTTCTGCTTGATTCCTTCTGCTTTGAGGTATTTTGGGCAGTTTTTAACGTGGGAATACATTTATTCCTAGTTGGTTCCAGAGGGATTGCATCATTTGTGTTTTTTGTTGCTGTTGCCTGAGATGCCTCAGAGAAGCTTCTGATGTCTTTGTATTCTGTTGTAGAGACAGTAAAAGCAGAATAATTTCAGCTATTGGCAACAGAAAATCCACTTTAGAGGGATGGTTCACCCAAATTGGCAAAAAAAGTATTCCCATCTTGTGCATTTCTGTTTTAGTTTCAGCATCTGAGAAAGCATGAAGATTAGATGCACAATAAGACTATAAGTGACATACTGTATAACTGAGTCACATAGCAAATTCAGTTTTGTTTCTGTCCCTTTTAATTATCTTCTTACAGATTAAGATTGAGTGCTCATGCTCTCCATTAATACTCACTTTATCTTGTTTTTGGAACTGTCAATAAGTCAAACTATATATATGTGTATATATATACTACAACGTCCGACAGTCCTTGACTCATTGGGCCCCAAAATACTAACTCCTATTGACTTACATTAGGAAAGAGACGTCTGTAAAGTGGATAATAAAAAATAAAACGCAAATCAACTTGCCAGGACGAACACTTGAATAGCTCTTATTTAAATCATTAAGGTCTAAAAGTCGTAAAATGCGCTACAAGCTGAATTTGTTTGCCTCTCCATTCATTCAACTTATCAGAGACTGGCTGTGAGGCTACGGTAATGAATCGGAGGCTAAAGAAAAACTCAACATGCTCTATGGGCACCCATGGAAATGCACCAGCCATT